TGTGCACGACACATGCCCCGTGCCACGGTCGTCCCATTGACGATCCGCATTCAGGGCATACAACTTCACTCGCCGCTTGGTGTCAGTCATTGCGTCGAACATGAGTCCACAAGGGTCATCGCAGGAAGAACAGAATTATGTGATTTTCGATCCTTTTAGACGACTACCACTGTCGCGGCCGGATGCCGTCGACACTCCGGGCAGGCGGCAGAAAAAGTTCCGCGGAAGTAGTTCGGCGCAGGACACGCCACAGACCAAGCGAGTGCAACTATTTCAGGACAAAAATAGCGTAGATGACGAGCGATACACGGACAGGCTTACCGAAATTCAGCGGGACCGCCGAATTAAACTGAGTGTAATTCGGAACGGGCCGGGCAAGCGCGTGCGGTGATGATCGGGTGAAATGTACTGCGCGCGAACTGGTCAAACGTATCGGAATTGGTTTTATCAGCAACGGGACGTGACAACATTTCGCGGACGCGCGATCTAAACAACAAACAGTGGACACACGGCCATTTTGAAAACAAAAAAAAAATAAATAAATAATATATATAGCGCGTACGTACGGGAGGAGGAATGAATAATAATAATAGTAGTAAACGCTCGTAACGCGTTCCGTTCACCAACTCGGTTACTAGTGAAGTGGAGGAACGACCGCGACGGACGCGCAGTGCGACCAACCAAACCGTCGTCCAACCGACGCCGTCGACCGAACGAAAACAAAAACAACATACGCGCCACACCGATACCGATACAATAATAATTTTTACAGGTACACACAGCCCGGTATTAGTATTACATTTTTACGATAATTTATACGATTACTGAGAAGTAGGAACGCATGTCGTGTGCGAGTCGTACGGTAGTTGTTGTTGTTATTGTTGTTGTAAGTTGTAACGCCCGCAAAAACCATCGTCGTCTTCACACACTCTTCCCTTTCAAACGGCCGGCTGATCGGTCATGTGGTGGTGATATTGTAGGGGGGCGGTGAATGGTGATGTACCGAGTAGTGAAAACAGTCATACTCATGCACTATGAAACATTGATACAGATCGAAGTCTTTCGAATTCCGAAAATTATCGTTTTTCAGTTTTTGATTAGCCTGGTACTACCATAGTACCATGGCTATAGATAATAAATAAATATAAAATACACTATACACTATAATATATTATTATACTATGTGCCCATGGTTCAATGGTTGAAATATACTCCAAGTTCCAACCATGCATATACCTATTAAATATTAATAATTATTTAATTAAATTTAAATTTAAAATTTTATGATTTAATAAAGATATTAGGTGGATTCGTGGCCATCGTCAGACTCAAGAGTGTCATACGGACATACGGTCACTAATACTACAGAACAATAATAATACTCATTGACTTACTGGTAAAGTCCATTTCTGTAGCCCGGAAGTGCGCCGCTGCAGCGTGATAAAGTGATTGATGAACTGCTAGCTGCCGCCAATTTACTCCGAAACGGCAAAACTCTTGAGGACGCTACACCCGCCTATTGTATCGTATCTGTCTTAAAAATGTACAACATAGCAGACTGTTTTTCGCGGGATAGAACCACTTGGTCTATGGTCCTAGTAGCTAGTAAAGACACCACAAGTGTACACAATATAAGAAGATAATATTTTCTGTGTCTTCTGTGTTTTTTTATTTGTTCGATATCATTAGTAGGAAAAAAGTTACAATACATTTAAAAATATGATATTTTTACGTTTTCCAAACTTAAACCTAATATATTTGTCCTATCGAAAAAATAAAAACGCTACCACATAGTTGAAATTTTTTATTAGTTTGGTTTCTTAGTTAAAACTGTAGCGTTCTCGATTCTTTCACGCGCGAAACAGTTTTTGCTATGTTATACATTTGTAAGACGGAGGCAACACATGCGGGTGTAGCATTCTCTTTAAATGTACTTTGAACTTTGCAGGCACTATTCCAACACCACCTTGAATCCGGATTCCGGAGACGTGGCCGTGTTCAAAATGTTGATATATTTTAATAATTAATTCACCAAATTAAATAATATTATTTAGATAAAATTGGGAGTAGTTGAAAAGGTACCCTAAATTATATATATGATAGGTACAATAATGTACATATTATATCACGGTAAGTAACTAGTTCACACGGTCTACAGTGAAACGGTGTCAGTAAGATAGCAGTAGCTTGTAGAATTTGTTTTGTTATAATTTAGGTACGTAGAACTATTTTTATATGTATAAAACTAATAACTTAAGTCTATAACAAATTAAATTAATGTTTATAGCTATGTAACAGTATAATATTACCTTTACAGTAATACGAATCTAGTATAATAATTGTCTTTGGTGTGGACTAATCCCTAGTTAGACAGTAGTTATTCTTATTCCTTATGTGTTTCTCGTGATTAAAATGACCTTGAACTGGGGCACAGAGCAGTGAGCGCGTTTTTTAATCGATGACTGTATGGCACCCTGCTTTTGTCCTTGACGCTCAGTTCGTAAACGCCGAGAGGTAGCTTAACGTTCGGACGGTATTTATTTTATTCCATCATCACCCATTCACTATACTACTATAATATTATGGCAGTAGGTATAGTAGTAGTCTTGACTCTTGTCAATGGCCACCTATTCGATTGTTTAAGACCCGGGCGCCTCGGAGTGTAGGCAAGAGTTATGTGAAGGGTGAAGAGGGGGTTACAGGGGAACTCATTCCCTCTTCTCTGATTGCTCTTGAAAAGCCTCCCAAGCATTGAAGCTTAAAATAACTTCTTCTAAAATTAATTATTTATTTACTAAAATTTATCATTTTATGTTTTTCAGTGATATAAGTACATTTTTGTAGTTATAAAAGTATATTGATACAAATATTTGCTGATGATTCTTGCAATTTATTGATTATTTAATTATTATATGTATTTAAAAATATGTTCAATATTGGTACCTAAGTCCCAAGGAAAATGCAATTTATATTCCTATTAATATTTTTATTTATTTAACTTAGTTAATTTACTTAATTTATAATATGTAAGTGTTAAAAACATTTAGAAGAAAGACAAATATAATTTATGTGCTTAACTGTATTTGTACCTCTTTAATTAAATTTAATACAAACCTAGGCACAGTGTTTGGAAAGAACGTCGTTCATGAACACACGTTAACACGTTCACGTTCATATTTAGTGAACTTACTCTATACTTCTATAGTCGCTCGTTTTATTTCAAATTGAGCGTGAACGACTTTTATAATTTAATAAAATTGAACGATTTTTCAGACGTTCAATTTATTTGCCATTTAATAAATATTTGTTTAAAATATATTAATTAGTAGTTATAATGTTATATTATATAATCATATTTTCTTATTCAAATTTCTATTATAAAAAATTAAATCAACTAGGTACCTAGTGAGCGCATTCATTTTTTCAATGAACCCGAACTTGAACGCCTTCAATTGAACAAAAAAAAAGGAGGTTGGTGTACAAGTTCCTTTTTGCAGGACTGAACGTGAATGAATTCATTTTTTTAATGAACGTTCCTACCACAGCCTAGGTATTATGATTCTATATAATGTGGATATTTTTATTTCAACTAATTAATTGTTTTATGAGAAACGTTTGCCATTTATTGTGCCACTTTAAATGCTTTATGAAGTTATAAGATCATTATAGGCTAAAAAAAAACGGAACCATCCGGGTGTAGCCGTCGATGGTTAGGTTAGGGTATATTGAGTTTTGTTTTTTTGAAAAATCTACAATTTATAATCTACTTTACTGCTTACATTGTTTTTCTCGGTTTACTAATATCCCCCATAAAAAATTATATTTTTCTGAACAGCAAATTGTGTAATTTTTCCAATAAATCTTTTTAACTTATCTTATAAAATGACTATAAATTGAAAACAAAATGAAAACCTTTATAATATTATGATGGTATTAAATTAATTTTTTTTATCCATACATACACCATAGAAGATACAACTTTCATTTTATTTTCATATAAATAACTAATTAGCTGTTACATATTTAAGATGACTAACATTACCTATTTAATTAATGTTTTTATTTAATTACACAATTTAGTCTGTAATATTTATATTTTCTGTTTAAAGTTAAAATAACATGATTTAAACAGTACAGCCTTTAATACCTATGAGCTCTATGCCTTAAACATCACATTATCGCTCAGCCAGGTAATGTATGAAGAGATATCTACTGTTTTCTTTATTTTAGATTTATTTAGAAATACAACAATTAGACGTAAATTATATGTAAAATGTACGTTGAAATTTAAAACTTGAGTCTCTACGAATAATATTTTTGAATTGCAACAAAATTATTAAAATTGTTAATCCTAATTTAAATATCTAATTTTGTTCAAATTTGAACTGATGTCTAAAAAAAATAAAAAAATATTGGAATTAAATGTTTTTTTAAAACATTTTTTGGTCACAGGGAGAACTACTACTCACATGTTCAAGTCATATTCATGAAAATTTGATGATTTAGAAATTTTAACTACAAAATAGTTTTCAAAAGTATATACCTTGTTTTGACAAAACTGGTAAAAATATATTTTCCTTTATTCTTCTTGTTTTGAAAATTATTGAGAATATTCTTTGTCTGACTTATAATAACACTAACTAGATTAAATTTGCTGGTAAAAACTCTTCTTGTCGAAGATCATAGCATTTTTTATACTATATTACAGGAGTGGATAAATTTCTGCTATCACGAGACTCATAGGCTCGTATCTTAAATTTTTTACTTATTTAAGAATAGGTATTATTTCTTTTCGTCTCTTTGTATTTTTTTTCATTATAATGTGTAGCTTGCAGCTGTCTTTATCACTTATATGCTGTGTAACGTTTACAGACAAAAATATAAAAAATACGTCATATTGTTGTAAAATCAATACATTACATTCATAGGCGCCATCCAGAATCTAAATCTACAAAAATCGTATTGAAATTATCACAATATTATACAACATAAGATAAAGATTTTATGATGTGATATTAAGTTGTTTATTAATGAAGTCTTAAACTAAAATACCAGTTAAATGTACATTACATAGAATTAAAATACTAAATTAACATTCTACTAATTGTACTTTATCATTTTCAATCATAAAATTTTTCATTTTCCTAATTTTTTTCAGAAATATCTTTTCTAGATCACTTTCAGATTTTTTAGCTTCGTTCAAAAAATGAAATTCACTCAAAACTCGTTTCATCACTTTACTTAATGAAATTGGTTTGTTTTTTTTTGTTTGTAACACTTGACTAATAGCTTCATTCCACTCAAATTTACGGCCGGACTGTACTTCTGGAACTTGAGGGACATCTTCTAAAAATGTTATAAAAAAATAATGTTAATTTAGAATAAAATAAAATAGTGACAACTTAAGATTTGATGCAATAATTCTAAATAAATCAAAATTACCAGTTTTCAAAATTTTTTGTTTTGGTTCTTCATTTTCTTCATTATTATTTAACTTCCTTTTTTTCTTTTTTGATATAGGTTCTTTATCTGATTCTATTATGCCATTGGTAACAGTTGATAATTCTAGTTGATATTTCATTTTCTTTTTCAATTCTTTTTTTTCTTTTTTACTCATTGCTGATTCAGGTTTTTCTTGAAGAATACTATTTTCCCCAAGTGATACACCATTTTCATTACATATATCTTCAGTTTTGAGAGCAACATCATTAATTTTATCATTAGTTACTTCTATTTCAGATTTTTTTTTCTTAGACTTTTTAGCTGAGCTTGGCTGAGCATCCGCTGTGTTCTTATCTTCTACTTTTAAATTGTCTTCAGTTCCAGAGTTAATTTTTAATATGTTCTTTTTCTTTGCTGATTGTTGCTCAACATCTGATTTTGTTTCAGTTTCAGAAATTACTGCCTCAAGTGATTTTTTACTTTTTTTTTTCTTTTTTGGTGTTTCCTCACTACTACAATCGCCATTTAGAATTTCGATAGATTCACTATCAATGTTTTCTGAATTTTTTTTATTTTTTTTAGACTTTTTAGCTGAGCTAGGCTGAGCTTCTTCCGTTATGTTATTTTTCTTTGCTGATTGTGGTTCAGCATTTCCATTCAATTTAGATTCAGTTTCATAATCTAATGCATCAAGGGATTGTTTACTTTTCTTCTTCTTCTTTTTGGGTGTTTCCTCTGTTTCATTATTGCCGTTTAAACTTTTATTTATTTCATCATTTTCAATGTTTATTTTATTATTAATTTCTTGAGATTCTTTTTGAATTGAATCATTGTTTGACAAATTCTCTGATTTATTATCAACTGATTTTTCATTTAAATTCTGAGGTAGTTGTGCTTTATACTCAGCTTCTATAATATCAAATACTTGGTCAACTATATATCCTTTTTTTCTATAAGCAGGAGCTGTGGAAAAACAAAAGTTCTGAAACAAAACAATACAGTTTCAACATCAGTTTGTTACAAAATATTAAATTAGTGTTGGTTTAATATCTATATTATAATATTAAATATAATACAATGACATGTTAAGTGAAATTATAATGCATTTTAAAGGCATCACCTGAAATTTTCATTCAAGATCACTTCATATTTATAATCCCTAAATTTCAACCAAAATATCATGAATTCTATGGAAATTTTTTGTTTCGACAAATGAGGAATTTAAATATATAAAATGAGAACATGATTTGCATTAAAATGTTAATTTTTTTTATTCCTACATTTTAATTATTGGCTCATAATTTATATAGATATTAAAATAATAATGTATATAAATATAAATGAATGCTTGTCTGTATGTCTTTTATGTCTTCCTAAATGGCTGGACAAAATTTTATGAAATATTTAGTGTGTTTGAGTAACCACCTTGGTGGCCTGGTAGGTACAACCCAGAAGATTGCTAAAACAAGGATTTTGAGATTTACGAAGGACATTTTTGTTTATAAAAAGTTGTTATTGCTTATAGGTAGGTTTGATGGTATTCAAATCAAAAACCAATACTGTAGTATTAGATTTGGAACCACTATGAAACGGTACATCTTGACACCAGTAAATACCGCAATACCGTAAAACTGTAATGCCAGAGAACCGCGATACCGGGAAATACCGAAATAATATGCTGAGGGAGTAAACAATTTTTATGATAACATATAATAGGTATCTGTCATATTATACTCAAAAAACCGTCAATCCCAGTTAAAGGAGAAATAAATAGAATTAGTATTTTTTTTTTGTATATTGGTTGCCATTGGTTAATTGGGTAACACTGCGGCACTCAATGTGTTAATAAAACATTTGTAATTACGTAGCAAGTATTAAATATTATTAAATAACAAACACATAGACCTATCTAACACTTCTATGTTATCACATACAATAAATTACTTACATTAAGTCTTATAATTTTACTAATGATTTATAAATTCATAAATTGTAAAGTATTAGAACAATTTTAATACTTGGATTTTTATCAGTAAAGCCAACAAAGTAGGAGCAATATTCAAATTTTTGAATAATTATGAAGTATTATATAAATACCTGGAATTTATTTTTTTTTCTCGGGACATTATCAAACTTGGCTATGATATTCAAAAAGTTTCTTTGTTCATTAGGCAAATCTTTATTATTCATTACTGATTGAACAATATCAACCCAACCAGCTTGTTTACGTTTTCCTTTTTCAGCTGACGGTTTAGGTACATAGCCTTTGGCAGAATATCTCTGGTCTTCAGTTACACATTGACAATGGTCTCTCACAGTCTCATAACTGGAATATAATAAATCATTAATTTTATAATTTTTCAGTATTGATTGATTAACAAAATAAAACTAATTAATACCAAAAACAATTGTGTTGACATAGACTTATAGTTTAAGCATAGGAATATAATTTATAAACAATACTCTGTGCCAAGAGAAATAACCCATTTTGCGAATGTAAACTCATAGCGGCAACTCTTAGGAGGCCCCATTTCCTCCACTTTGTGCCATTCCCTATACCGCTGCAACGTCAATATTTAATATAGGTGGAGATACAGGTTACTACCGGTTACTTCTCTTGTGGGACAGAGAATAGTAATCCTGCTTGTAATTATTTTTGAATATGCCTACTTAATACCATTTTAAAATAACAATTGTCGAGGAAGTCACACTTTTGTGTGTTGTCAACATCATACAAATAGACTGCACAGCAAATTTGAATTCAGCAGTTCCAATTACGTCTTGTTAGCTTTAATATTAGAGTGAATCTACCTACTATCAAACTTAAAGGTAAAAACAGTTTTCTTGTTGTTTCATACAATATTAATTTTCAAGTGAGTTATAAGCATTTTAAAATATTAATATGTTGCATACCATACGTAAAAATGTAAATACTGCAAAATATCAAAAGGCAGACAACTCAGATAATGTTTTTACTTTTAAGTTTGATAAAAAGGAAATTAATTGTAATACACAAGTTAACAACAAACTGGAATTTCTTAACATAAAATTTGAAATGTGTAGTGTTAGAGTAAGATAGCGACAACTCACGCAAGTACAGTTTTTTTAAAAAACAAAAATTAAAGTAAATCCTATGATTTGATAATTTAACCTTGCATAAAAACAAAATTGAAAATATAATCACCTCCGAGAAATGTTCCTTAAATATATTAAATATTAGCGTACATTAATTAATTGAAATAACCTGCAACGAGCAATAATATCTATGTATTTAATACAAATATAATCTACAAAATCAAAAAATATGTATTCCAAGTATTTTTAAATTAAGTGGGTAAATTAATATAAATTTAAATGCACAGATGTATTATGGAGGTTGGTAAAAACATATCATAATGAATACTACTCACTTAAAATCTTTTAAGCAGTCGACACAACAGAAGCTAACTGCAAAATTTTTACGTTTGCATTCATACTGAATGTGTTTATCCACTTTAGGCTTATTCACTGAATCGCCACAATTATTACACGTGAATACAACCATGATCTAAAGTACAAGTATATAATTAATAGGTAGTATTGTTTAAATTAAATAGATTAGTGAAAAATAATGTGTTCAATTACTTAATAGTAAATATTGAACAAACAAGTGTACTTACATGCTTGTCTATCAAAGTGGGAAAAAAATTTGAAAGTAACTAATAAATATTAATAATTTAATTCTCTATCGAATCAAACTATTTAACAATTTCAAAATAGCACGTGCTAAATAGTAAATACTGTGGAGCCTGATACAGCAAGTGTCAGCAACAGTACTACAACCGCGGTACTAACTAGTAACTACTTGGCAACTTGAGTTAGCATTTCAAAAGAAACAGATACAAAATTAAGATGCTCGATAATGAAACATTTGTATCAAATTTTAAAATTTAAATCCACATTCCACGTTGTTTTAAATGAACAAATAATTGATGATAATCATTAGGAGTGTGGTGAATAGTTCACTGATACGGCGATAGTGCGATACCGACCACGAATCACGATTATAAATCCTTATAATCGTGATACCTACCAAGGACCGGCATTATAATATTATCAAAGAACAAACATATTCTGTTCTAATCATGATAAGAACTATACCAGTACACATACCAACATTAAAAATAAAAACCCCGAAATATTTTTTGAAAATTGGGTAAATAGCTCGGATGTACGTCCGTCGTAAATAGTATGGTAACGTATTGACTTGTAAATAATACCTTTTAAAAGAATTTTAAGTAAATACTCGAGTACTCATGAATATATTGTAATTTTTAATTATATCACTAAGATAATTTAAAATTTAATAAATATTATAATTAATTTATACTCCGAGATGCTCAATTTGATTAATTTTTACCAAATAAAAAAAAAAATTAATTTTCATACTTTTTTTATTTTATTTTTTATTATACAGTATATTCAATATCTAGGAACAATAGGAATATGTTATAAGAAAAAATGTATACATGAAAGCTTGATAGGAGGAAACACCCAGTGGTAACATGCTACTGTCACTAACCCTTACTTGATGATTTTTTTTTTATGTATATTGCTATTTGCTATACTTTACATTATCTACTTGTTGAGTAAATCTCCGATCTCGATACCATTTCCTTCTAAGTCTCCTAGGAGAGTTCCCAGGAATTTTGAAATGAGGGGGTTGGTATGAGAACTGAGAAGGGAGTTTTAAGTGGAATCGTTTGTAAAGGTTACTGCTTCTTCGTAGACTGTTTTAATTTTTAAATCGGTGATGTGTTAAATTAGATTTGAGATATAAGGAGGAGAATTTGTGATTTTACGAAGGATGTTATTTTGGAAGGCTTGAATTTTACTAGTGTTGGATTTTTTGGCATTACCCCAGAGCTGAAGAGTCTTCAGTGAAGGCCATAGGTCCACATAGGCTTCCAAGAAGGATTTTTAAATTAAGAGTTTAGTATTTAATGGAGTGCGTTTGTTTTTTGAAATTAGTGTTTTGAGGATGCGGAGTCGTGCATTTAAGGCAAGCCTTTTAATTTTAATGTGATGTGACCACATGAGTCGACGGTCAATTGACAGACCAAAGTATTTAGCCAATTGAGAGGAAGGGATTTGAATATTGTCTAGAGAAACCATAAGACAAGGAGGAAGACGAAGAGTGAAAGTTGTGTGAAGTGATTTGGATTGGTTAACTTTGATACGTCATTTTTTTATACTTTTTATACCAATCAGAGATGAGGGCAAGGTGGAGTTGGAGATTGAGGGAAGCTATTTGTGGATTATCGTGGATTATCATGGATAGAAATAATAACCTTATCATCGGCCGAATCTGCAACAGTTGTGTACGGCTAGGTGCCAGGTGGGTTCAAGGTGGATATTATGTATGTTACGGGCAAAGTGGAAAATTCGGACAATGTATACAATGCCCGGGCATTGTATACAATGTCCGAGGTATATTGGGCAATGTAAATTGTGAAGTATTTATACAAATAATCTGCATAATATATTTTGTTAGATGATAATGATAAACTAATATGAATTTATAATCGACATCTGATTGTGCTTGCATGTCGATCAAGTCAATTTGACAGCGAGAATTCATTTCAGAAGATATGATTGGTTTTACAACCAACCCTTTTTTAGCTGTACTTCCCTTCTTTTTACACGATTTGCAATTATTTAAGTATAACATTATTACATCTCTAGTTATATTTTTGTACTTTTTATTAATCTCGTGTTCCATTCTATTTCTACCTCCATGTCCAATTGACAAATGAACTTCATGTATAATATCATATAACTGAACATTATGCACATAATATTTTATTTCATTACCTTTAAATACATTTAAAATTGAATTAATTAAAAAAAAATTATAATACTCTTATATAAATAACCATATAAACGAGTATAATTAAACTAGTATATAATATCATTGATTAGGTATAATAATATTATGCAGATTATTTGTATAAATACTTCACAATTTACGTTGCCCAATATACCTCGGCCATTGTATACAATGCCCATTGCCCGGTCACTGTATACAATGCCCGGACATTGTATACATTGTCCGAATTTTCCACTTTGCCGGTAACATATATATTACATATATTATATATATATTATTATATTATATTATATATATCCACCTTGGGTGGGTTGATCGGCAGCGTAAATGTTGTATAATAGAGGAGAAAGGATTCCTCTCTGTGGAACTCCCGCACTAATTTTTGCTAAGCCAGAAAAGGATATGCCAACTCTGACCTGAAAGAGGAATAGATTAGTAAGTTATTTTCATACTTAAAAAGTATTTGCAATACTACCCAATCCTGAGTATGTAAAATAGTTTGTTTTGCAGACAAAACCATTTTATTAGTAAATGGTAACAATTAGAGCCCGGAATTATATTCTTTTGAGTCTATGCAGTCAGACGGGGGTTCGATATCTTTACGAATCATGAAACAAGTGTATTAATGGCAAACATTTTTTTTGCATACCTATTTGAGAATATTTCGTATAATAAAGAATATTAGAGAATATATCGGCTAATTTGTATAGATGTTCGATATTTTTGGTTGTAGTGATGTAAATAATATAAATGATATTTATGTACCGTCCGATAATAGTGATACTGATATGATATTGAAAATATACTATAAATTTATATTATACTGTACAGTAATGTACTGCAATCCACTGTAGTATATAAAATATGTGACTTATCTAAGATAACAATGCCCGACAAAAAATGGAATTACTACACAAAAATAGCTAGCTCCAAGCGTTACAGGTACAGGTACGGTACCGTGTGCACTGTACAACAGTGCAGTATCGCGTGTCGTGTAGTATTGACCTAAGTACATAGTAGTTTTATTTTATAAGTCACTTGTTTTTACTTGTTAATAATGCCGAAAACACCATCAACTAAATTAAAAACTTTTAGAAAATTGTTGACCGGCTATGATATCTGATTTGCAATGTGACTTCAGTTGACGTCGAACGTTCTTTCAGCACATATAAAAACATTTTGACCGACCGTCGCACAAGTATGACACCAGAGCACATGGAACAAAATATAGTTATAAACTGTTACCAAAAATGTTCTTAGTTAAAAAGTTAAAAATATTATTATTTATTATTAATAATTTAATGGAACTTTTCTTAACATAAAGTATTTTTTATTGTGTACCTATTTTATATAGTATTTATATCAGGTTTTTGTATTATTTAATTATTTATCATATTATGTATCTTGTACCTATCTATTTATAATCAGTTTTTTTATAATTTGCTTAATTTTGTTGCATATTGAGAATATATTAATAAAAAAACATATTTTTGGCATATTTTATTATGATTTTTAAAGAATATTGGAAGAATATTTTCAACTTTTTAAGAGAATATTAGCATCTTATTTTGGATATTTTTAAAGTATATAATTCCGGGCTCTAGTTATGAGTGTGTAAATGATTTCAATTTAAAAATGGCTTTAAATAGTATTCAAATTAAAATATCATAAAAAGCCAATTTAGGGGCATAAGTAATGTTCTCAACTTAAAGTTTGATGATAGGTAAATTCACTCTAATATTAAAAGTAACAACACAGAACAGGTTCTGCCAAATATAAATTTGTCATGTTGCAAGTTGGTCAGGAAAGAAAACAAATGTGAAGCTGGCATCTTCTTAAGAATACCACACACTATTCACTCAAATACTTAAAAACAGCTAACTAACAACTAGTAACATCAGCTGTCTTATAAAGTAAATAATTTAGTATTCGAATGAGCATTTAAAGGTGACATCTCTTGAATCCTATGCTCGTTCATAGTTAGAATTTAGATTTGTTCTGATTACCCATAGTAAAAATGCCACACCAATACCTGTTATGCCTAATGATCATTACTTATTAGCTTTAGGGTGTACAGCATACATTGTTTTTAAAATTAATATACCTAGACACTAAAGAATTTAATTAAAATAATTATTAACTTGAACACAAACAAGGAACAAAAATAAAACATAAAATCTTGCAGCATAATAAACAGCATTTTTATTTTTTACTTCAAACAATTGTATTGGTAAAGCTTACTTAAGTACAACAATGTAATATAATCTTAGTGAATAAACACAATTAGTTTCAAAATATTTAGGACTAGAATAACACGGTTTTCAATTAAATGATTAAATGGTCAGAATAGAGCATAGGATTTTACATGTTATTTAATATTACTTTTATTTGACATATGAAATTACTTTATTAGATTTTGGTATTTATATCACCACATGATGAACTTTCAGGTAAACTATTCTCTGGAAAATACAATTCTGTAGAATGCTAAAAGTTTTGAATTAAATACAAATTTAAGCTATAAGTAGGGGTAAGAATAGTTCTTGTAATAGTATTCATTATATAAATTTAATTATTTATAAATTATATAGGCCTCAGCTCTCTCCAACCACTGATAAACATTATATATAATTTGTTATTGGAATGTTCTGTAATTCTAGGAGTATAACTTATACCTAAGTAGATTTTTTTTACTAAATAGGAATATAATATAGTATATAACATTATTGAATTTATAAGCCTAACTACTGTGGTATTTAATACATATATAAATTAAAAATTTGAAGTTAGAAAATACATAATATAAAAATTGCACATCAATAATATTATATAAAACAAAAATAAAATCATGATAAATAACAAAGCCATCAAAAGAATTTTAAGTACAAAAATGTAGAAAAATAGTGGTTTATATCAATAATAATAATAATATATGTGTTGTGTTGTGTTAGTTATAAATTGTATTCAATGAATAATACAATTTGTAACACAACATTTTGATGTTTACCATTTAGTTTTTTTGTTAGATTTTGGTTATAAGAGATCATGTTTATAGTAATGTTGGAATGTTTGGTAACTAGAATATATTTGTCAATAGTATATCAAATCGGCCGGACTGAATGACAGGTGATATGTAGATTTTGGATGGAAATTATAATAATTTAAAATTATACACATCCTTAACACCAAAATTCTAAGATTGTATGAGCAAAAACCCTTAAAATAACAACTACTATTTAAACCCAACACCTGATTTATGTTCCCAAATACCTAATTAAAGACAAAGACTAAAAAATATAATGTAACATAAATTGTAAATAAAATTAATTACTAAAAGTTAATTTTTAATATGTTAGATTTAAATATAATTATTATTTAGATAAATACTAAAATTTAATTGCTGTTAGTTCTATACTTTGAAATTTAATATAGTTATTAAATTATATTTAAAAAAATCAAAATAATAGAAATCGTTAGAGCTCAAACAAACGGATATTATTGAGATGTTAAGTTAGTAGGTAAATATTTTAATCTAGGATCAAACTTCATTTGTACAAAGATTCACTTCTACTATTTAATACAATTTTGTTAATAGGAGTTTTATGGTTAACTATAGTAATTAAGTACGTAGTAAAAAGAAAACTACAAAAATATAATCATTTTACTTATTGGAATTAAGGTCATCTTACCTAAAAAATGACTAGTATTTTAAACCACAATCAACTTACACTACAAAGAAATGTACAAATTAATTATACAAATGTTATCTAAATATCTTTTCAACATATTTCTAAAAATTCCACCAATAAATTACCTATATACCATAAGAAAATAGCAAGGAGTAAAAAATTCTTTTATAAGTTTAAGCAATTTAATTTTAGGTAATTCATTAAAATACGTGGTGAACTAGTAGTAAATATATAAGTAGGAGTTAGTATTAAGTATATCCAAAAAAATGTATTTCAAAGATAAATGATTGTGTGTATTGATTATTATTTTATTTATGTTTATACATTTCCAAAATTATATGAAAAATGCGTTTGTTCAATGTCGAAACATTTTATGGCGTTAAGTAAATTCTGTCACAGACTATACACTATACAGTATGTTCAAGCTAAAAGATACCACCACTAAATATTTCAGCTGAAAGACCTCGCACATTTACAATACAACTTGCTATTTTAAAAATACAACAATTTTTGTATTAAAAGGTTTTTTTTCATATTACAACATTGACAAAGTTAGAGTAAGTTTAAATTAACCAAGTGATCAGTGTTTTTAGTGATATTTTAACCACGTTTATTTAATACACGAGACATTCATGATATTCTATACAGTGGTCGAAGTGGGAAGAAGATTTTTCATCCCTCTACTTATTTTGTATAGAATAACGCATTCCTCCTAAGACTTGTGTTTTAAAATGAAATAATTATTATGATTTTTATATTTATACCTATGTAAGAAAACTTTTTATTTTTCATATAGGCCTAAATCTGAATTGTAAGGCATCCCTCCACTTATCTTGAGCCATTTCGACCACTGATTCTACACAGATAATACAGTATACTTTCATTTTTAAATAGTATATTTTATATCTGTTACCTATAACAAAAAAAAAACAAACAAAAATGTTTGAATTGCATTAGTTTTCGCAATTTTTGTTATCGAAAAAAAGTTATTTGTAGGTTATCTAATTGAAAGGTTTGAAAATATTTTCTCAATTTTTGCACCTCAGTACACATTTTAACCTCTTGAAAGCCCTATTTTGATCTGGATTCAAGTTTGTGGCATTCAACTGATATATGTAGTGGTACCCCTTAGTCTGGATATACAGTATATATTACTGACTTGTTAAAGATTTAAGCACCAATATTTTATATAGTACTAACACCAAAATGTATTATTTACAAAAAATTCGTATATATTGGTATATGTTAATGTCAGTCATTCCTTTAGCACAGAAACTCTTATAAATTGGTATAACACATTAACGCTTAAATTAATATCAAAACATAAAATGTTAAGATGATTAAAATTGTAAAAGCTCAAAATCATTATAAAATCACAAACTTCATTGGGAAAATTAGATAAATGCATAAATCTAAGTGAATTATTTTGTAAAAAAAAAACCGTAAACCCTATAATTTGATCAAATTCTTGAAAATTATGTCATTAAAATGTTGAGCACACATATGAGAAGTTGCATAAAAATTGGATTAATTTAATGGTTCCCCAAAATTAAATGAATCAATCAAGGGCCAACTAAATTATTTTTGAAGGACCAACAGCTTACTGTTTATTAAATGTTTAATGACTGTTTATGCAACCCGGCAATAGACATTTAACATTAAATTATAATGTCAAATAGGTACATAATAAACTCCATCACCTTGAACTTAAATCAATTTCCATGTATCTAACTTTAGAGTGTGAAGCTACTAAAAAAAGTGATTGAACAAGTAGTATTAAAATACTAAAATATCTTTGACCTGATAAAACGCCGCAATAAAAAGTCTTTACTAGGTTCATAATAATTTTTTTTGAAAGCAGCAATTTCTGGAGCTTTTCTGATAGTAGCAATGACATCAAAATCAGATTCTAGAATAATAACTACAATCAAAACCATCATAAACAATGCAAATATAACTGGTAGCAAAGTCTGTCGCAAGAATGACAAGCTTGATCCACTGTTCCGAATTGCTGTAGTTTCTAAATGTTTTTGACCAGACTGCTGATTCGAAACAGATTGGATTAATGGTGTACCGTCTGTTACCATTGTAGTAAAGTCTATAAACAAATTATACATTTTTTTTATTAACAATGATAATTTATAAGTTTTTATTAGATGAGTTTTTATAAGCTGAAGCTGCAATAAATATAACAATATGCTGTACTTAAATTTATATACAAATAACACCATGATAATAATATACATGGTATGAAATTTGATTCAATCTAGAGCTGATATTAAGTAACTTAATTTTATCCTTCTGTTAATAAAATAAAATGTCAACAAAATTGTTCTAAGATTTGCTGTGAAAGATACAAACACGAGTAATCATATTTTCATACTTATTTTAATATTAGTTTTTAAGTGAAAATATATAGATTTCATTTTATGTCTTGAAATAGGAAGTGTTTGTTATAAGATGCTTTAGTGCCCCCATATTTGTTTTTTATACATGGATGTAGGTAAAAATTTCCCACGTATCCCTCTACTAAGTTTATATAATTGTAATTGGCTCGCAAGTGACCTTCCATTGAAGCAACTTTGGTAAGGATAATCAACAAATTAAAATTGTATTTTAAGTATTTTAACACAAGTCATTTAAATTAAATATTTCCATTATGTTATCATTCTTCAATAAAGAAACATCTCATTCAATATTGAGAATAAAATAATAAGAGACATAGCCTTCTCGTTCTTAGCCAATTTTTTATTGAATATTTGTGTAATACACCAATACAATGGCGTGGTGAACTTAATTAAATAAAGAGGCACAAAAATTTATATTAATTATTATAAACACTTATATTAGTAATCACTTATTTACTTATGATAACTGGTAAGTGAGAACTATTTGCTTAGTTTTTAAATAAGTTTTAAATTATATGTGTCCATAGTCTCCAAGGCACCCACCCATCACCTTTTAAACTGAAGTATATGCCTCAAAAAATGTTCTTTGTCATGCCATTGCACCAAAATAATATGTAGAATACACATGAAGGTGATGTGTTATAATGGAATTCAGTACTATTTAGTTTTAAGATTATATTATTATAACACTATACTACAGCATAAAAAATTGTTTAACTTAAATACTTTTGTTTTTATAATAATTACATCATAGCTAAATTATAAAATATCTACAAATCAGCGATCAAAGTGAAAACAATCACAGCAGACTGGAATAAAGAGAAATCTACATTTAATTAAGATTAAACGGATCTCATCTCAAACCATATTGTCTCAAAATAATTTGATTCATCATATTTTTTTCAATTGTATCAATGTAGTAAAAATTAATACAAACATAATAATAGCTATACTAGTTTATAAATTTTACAATATACATTTAATACATTTTTGCAATTCCTATTTATAGTGAAAAATAAATTCTGTGCAAATTATCTGAAAAAACAATATTGCAATTATTTGTTTTTTATGGGTACATAATAGTTTTAATCATGATATTTTTCCCAGTAAATTATATTATGTAAAGATTTAAGAACTTATACAATTTATACAGGTAGATAATTCAATATTTATATTTTTAACGAAGTTAATAAACTTATTTTTTTTTAGTTTAAATTTAATGTTGATTAATTATTTATAAGTAAGTTACAGAAATATTATAATATAAAATACTTTTTTCATTGTGAAGATGAATGAAAATTAGTGAATACTTTGAAATGATTATTTAGTTAAGTAGTCAAAAATGTTTATTTTTAATCTATAATAACCTTTGTATGATTAAATAATCTAATAAAACTATTAGAAGAATTTAATATATTAATTAAAATATTGAATATAATATGCATACTGTATAGTTATTTACTACTTATTACTTTAATTGTGATAGAACTATTTTATATAGATACCAAAATACCTAAAGTTAAAGACTTTAAGAGGATGTCACTATTTGTTTACTTTCTTTGACCCATGTGTAAAGTACTAGATTAGTGTTCAGTAGAACAAATTTTGTATTGTTAACTTAGTGTTTGGAAGAATTAACCTATTATCAAATTTTAGGTTACAAACATTATTTATGTTTTAATGTTTTCTGTTTTATAACATTCATATTTTACTGGGACATATTATGAGCATTTAAACACTAATAATATTCTTAAATTTGTTAATAAGTGAATTCATACCAATATTGAAGTTAAAAACACAATTGTGTTATGTAGCTTGTGGATCAGAGATAATACAAACAGTATGCTGCCAATCCATATAGTATCTGAACAATTGGAACACTTTTAAAAATAATAATTTTATACTATTTATTAAAAATGATAAAATGAATTCAAAATTTTAATTATAGTAGACCATTTAATACCTGCATTAATTTGGAGGAAGGTCCGGAATGCGGATAATAAAATATGTATGTATAATATATAGATAAGTATAATATTGTTTAGTTGGTGATATTGTATTTTATTTTTTAGTTCAATTTAAATTAATGATTTGAATGACTTAAGAATACCTACATCAAAGTTAAGCTGTAGCTAGTAGATGATAAAATAATCTTGTATTTTATAATATGAGCAATAAAATTGGAATCTATAATTAATACAGTAGCATACATTTAGCAGTATGGGTAACTTACGCTGTAACTAACGCTATACTGAAAATTGAAAAATCTCAAAAATAAAAATGACATTACCTACTCAAGCAATATAACTATTAATGGCAAATGTAAAAATGTATGTTTATATACATTTATTACATTTTCAGTCATGTTTAAAATGTTATGAATCTATAAAATTCATTTTAAGTTTTAACCTATTAAGTATAAAGTAAACATTAATCTTAATTTTAAGAACATAGAATAAATGTAGATTACGAATCGTAGTTTATTTAAAATTGAAAGAATGTGAACTTAACAGTAAAAATACTACAGACTACAGAGGATAAAAAAAAATATTATAATGGTTTATGATTAATACTATAAAGCAAGTACAGTTATGATTTATAACTTCTAAGTAGATATATTTTGTATATAAATTCAAAAAATGTTATGTGCTAGTTTTATATAGAAACAGTAGAGCATCAAAGGGCTTCAAGTTGGATCCGAAAATAATTATAGTTCTTAATTTTGCACAAATTGGTTACGGGAATATCAAATTATGTGTTCAAATTGGGACAGTAAACAATACAATTATTTATCTCATTGTAATAAAACGTAAATGGGTTCAGTACTTTTCTAAATTTAGGATAGGTAGTAATTAGATTATAAAAAAAATTCAGTTAGGTAATTACTTAAAATATTTTTTTGGACTTACTACCAAACAAAGCTGAAAATTGTTCAATATTGTTAGTTAAACCAGACGATTGGACTCATGGCTAAATACACTGGTATGTTTTCAACTTGGTTCTGTGCATGATGCTATCGTTTGCTTGCTAGTACTGTCAATTGCCAAAAGCAGCCACGCTTATATCATAATTTATCATAGGAATGAAAACATGTGACTATTCAGACTATACATTATTTAGTCAAAGTTGAGATCATACCAGTATAGTTAGCCATGATAGGACCCAACTAGTGAGGTATGATTTTTAACATGGGACACTATTAGTACAACATTCGAATCTGGGACCCAACTATGATATTGGTAGATGGTTGATATCATGTTGGTAGATGTATTAAATTTAAAAGCACCATCACTACTTTGTTTCATTAAATTAAGTTTTATAATATATAGTTATTGTAATCAAAATTATAAAACTTGGTTAAAATGATTAAAAAGTTATTTTCTTTACAGTAATTTGTGTGTAAAAATGTTAAAAGTAATATAAATAGATTATTTTTTTAGTTAAAATGTTAATCAAAGAAAAAAAAGGAACTTGAGTTGAGATCATTACAATATAAAATATGTGGCAATTAGTTTAAAAACATGGCAAAACTGTTACATTTAATAATATAAAGTTATAAGTATTAACATTACACAGTAAAAACTATGCACGATTATATGAAGAGAGAAATTATTAATATTATGTTATCACTATGATGAAAACACAATTTGTAGCATTAGTCTTAATTATATTAAATTAACATAGTGAGTAAGGAATATTATCAATGTGTATGTGCATTTAGTTAAAAGGTTATAATGAGTAAAAATATGTTGGTGAAATTGAACCAATTATGAGCAAAATACGACCCAATACCCGACACTTACCAATCAGTAAATGATCATTCAAGATTTCTTCATGATGGACCTCTTGTTCAACTAAGAAATTATAATTAATAATAATTTTTAATTCTAATATATTTATTAATCACTCTTCTATTATATCTTAAGATATTAAATTAAAAAAAATACTTAATTCTTATTAAATAAAAAATATTGGTATACACAAGAACTATATAATATCTTACTTTTAGATGTTATGATCTCTTGGTCTTCTAATAAAGTCTCTAAAACTGAAGAATTATCAATTTGATTGGATGAATCTACTGAAGTATTATATTCTTCACTAGTGTTTGTTAATGAACGAGGAAGGCTATTAAATCCTGCAGTAAAATATTAAGAATAATATAAGAAACAGGTTTAAAAAAATATAAAAAAAATCAAATTTAATGAAATGTGATTAAAAAAATTAATAACTTATTTACGTATGGTAGTATGGTTCCTTAAGTGTCAGAAACCACACCACTCAGTTTAAGATTTTAGATTAAGGCAGGAGCCACTCCATTGGAAGTGACTCCTCTATTAAAGTGTAAAATATATATAATTGTTAACCATATTTATAAAAACCTTTGGGTCGTTTAAATCAGTGTTCCTCAACCCTTTTTAGTTACTGCCCCCTTGAGTAGCAATTAATTTTTTAAAGCACCCTAAGGCGAGAATTCTAAAAACTAAGGATTTGGGAAGAGGGAGTCGATGACTTGTAAAATTAAAAAAAATTAAATCATCCAATAACTCCTGTTTTTATTTATTTTTTATTTATAGTACTAGTAAAATAATAAAATTATACGTTTGAAAAAAAGTTTAATAATATTATGTTATCAATTTATAATTGAGAGGGAGAGGTTTGAAATATTTTTTTTGTTTTGAATAGCCTTGTATTGAGATTTGAGGATTAATATAAGTACAAATGCATGAACAATATTATATTGGTCAACGGCAGGGATTTAACCTCATTAATCCCTTATTAGAATGCCCATAGTAACTAGATAAATTCTATTGTACTTTAAGTATAACTTTTAATATAATGATTCACAAGTTTAATTTTTGAATTTAACTATTGGTTTAGTTATTTTAGTTTTTCAATAATCAAACATGATAAAAAAAAATATTTCACATTATGCACTAATCTAAAACTTGGTTTCATATTATAATTATACACAAGTAAGATCTAAAGAGGACGTGGCAACTGCCATATGTTGTCTCTGTCTCACAAGTGCGTAACATGGCAAATTGTATATTCAATAGATCACGTTTAGCTCTGTTGGTTTAAAAATTAGAGTGAATTCAGTGGCGGTTTTAGGGATGAGGTAAGTGAGGCAATGGCTCACTTGTAATTGCAGTAATTAAAAAATATTTGATTACTTTATATTAGTACTATTTTGAATTTTATTCATTTACAGTAATAAAATATTTAACGTACATACTTTTTAATTTTAAAGCGAGTTACGAGTATTTAAGGATGCATAAACAATTTACAATTTTGAAATACTCATAACTCACTTTAAAATTAAAATACAACAACAACCCTTTAAGATACCCTTGATATTAATCTTACCTTAACATTTTATAAGAGGTCAATTCACTCTAATTTATTATTAAATTAACAGAGTTAAATGTGATCTGCTGGGTGTAATACTTGGTATGCACTTGTAAGATGGAGCAACACATGCAGTTGCCAAGTGGCAAGACCTTTTAATACTTTAATAACATGTTATATACAAACATATTTTTAGTAAAAGTTAAAAATATAATATACATACCAACTTGATTAGTAACAAGATTAGAAGGCGTAGGAGGTTCACTTGATGATTTTCTTCTAAGGCTACCAACACGTGTTACAGATGGAGATTCTCTGGTGATTGTCATATCTTCTAATATTTCCCGTTCAACACGTCCACTATACTTAAATTTGGTTCCCCATGAAAAAAAGCCTCCACCAGAAACTACATTAGGAACATCAGAGCTTGAAGGAAATCTGTTACAATAAAATATGTATATTAGTATTATTTTGCATATTAAGAGGACGCTAGACCCGCATGTGTTGTTTCCGTTTTCCAAACGTACAACACATCAAAACTGTTTTGCTAAGCTAAGCAACCAAACGTTCACACTATAAACAAGAGAACATTTACTGTGCAAAATCATTTTTATTTTTTCGTTATCACAAATACAAGAAAAGTTATTCAAATTTGAAATAATTAATTTATAAGCAATAAGAACTTGTCTTCTATTTGTGATATCGAAAAAATAAAAACGATGTTGCACAGTAAATGTTCTCTTGTTTATAGTGTGAAAATTTGGTTGCTTAGCTTAGCAAAACAGTTTTTGATGTGTTGTACGTTTGGAAAATGGAGACAACACATGCGAGTGTAGCGTCCTCTTAATTGATTAAAACAAATCAATTAACTTACAACATGTAAAATATCTACAACTGTGTTGATAGCTATTTTTTTAAATAGAAATTTATATTTCTTAAATTAAATTAAAATTAACCTCAAATCATATTCAATAGATTTTGGTAACTGTGAGAATGTTAAGATAAGAATTGATAATAATTTTGGTCTCAAATCATAATAATAATGAGTTGTATAATCAAGCAAATTTAATTTGAATGTCCTGTACAATTAAATATTACAAAGAGAAAATTAATAAAATGAATATGGATATATTGGAAAATTATTTTAACAAAAGGAGCACTGTCTCTCCATCAGTAAAATATTTAAATGATTAGTAAGGGTGCTCTCAAGATATATTTACTAATAGTAGAAAAACTTTGTCTCTTTAAGCTCCCTCCTAATCCGAGTGTTTCTAGGATGTTTTGAAATAAATTATGAACAAACTATGATCCTAAAAAATTATACTTACGTGAAAAACAACATTTGTTCTACAGCACATTTCCATACATGACGACATGAAGAACCTCTAGGGCATTTAAAACCAATTGTTTGCTTTTTCTGAAAATATTTATATATTTTATAAGTATAAACATATATAAATAAAATACTTTTTTAAAATTATTTTTAAATAATGAATGAACATTTTTTGTTTTTAAATTGACAGTTATGAGAATTCTTTAAATATTTTAATTAACTACATATTTTTTTTTTTTTTTTTTTTTATTGATCTTAAGCTTCGGCAACTGAGGCCATTAGCTGTAGTAGGATTTGTATTGTAGGTTTGTATTGTATATTTTGGGACGATAGGGGGGAACACGTGTGTGTTTGTTTTTGGCAGAATTTCGAATGGGGCACCCGTAGGTTTCTGCCATGCCCCGGGGGTGGGGGATGGCAGCACTTGTTCTCCGGTCACCGCGACTTGTCCGGAGAAAAATGCCGCCCGGTAGCCGAGGATCGAACCGCGACCGGCTGCGTCGCAGCGGACGCGTCAGACCACTCGGTCACCTCATCCCCCTAACTACATATTTATACCATATGAATTTCATATAAAAATTATGAAATAATGATTTATCAAGTAGTAACGTTTTATCTATAAACAATCTATAAAGTTTAATCTGCGGTAAACTATACATAAGTGAACATCTAATTAATAAGATAATAAAATACAGTTCAAATTTAAATAAATATAGCTTTTTGTAATGAGGCTAGTCGATTGAATAATCTACATATTAATTCATAAATGTAAATATCTTTCTTGATCTAAAAAACAGTGAATAAAATCTAATAGTTAAATAAATTGAAACATAAAATAGCAGATGAAAGAAATGTTATAAATATACACGCAATAAAATATGATAAACATATATTATATTTACTAAAATTATTATGTACCTAATTTAATTAGTTAAGTTAATTTGAAACAAATATATTTGTGAAACTGGCCTAAAATATAACTGGTATAAAATATTATAGCTATGTCTCTTGCCAAAAATGAAATAATAATCATAGTAAAACCGAAATTATTTTATAACGATTCACCTTGCATAAAAATTTTTTGTAATCATACCTCCAAGAAATATTTCTTTTTAACACTGTGTTTGGATCAACATATTATTTACAAATGTAATTTAAGAAATTTGTACATCAATATTAAAAATAAAATTTGTACAGATTTTAATTATGTTCAATTGTGAAATTTCACTCACGTAAAAACTAAATGAACCCTAAGTGCTAATTTAAAGAAGTGCCCATCAGGTAATTACTTCTTTATTGAAAAATATTCATTAAAGATGTTTTTGATAAGCAAAAATGTCATTGTATATACAAGGTACCTATATTATATAATACTAATTATTCTAAAAATAATTTAATTACAGTAACTACCTTGATTCTCTGATCCTAAGAAGCATGTAATTACATACAAAAAATACTTAAATAAACTAAATAAACTAAAATACAAGATTATAATAATAATAAATACAAAATAATTAGAATATTATGCTACATTATTATAAATTAAGAATACCTCATTAAGAATGATATGAATGATGAACATTTTACCCTCAAAGTTAATTTTTTGAACTTGTGACCAGCTGAAATGGTTCATTTTCTTACTACCTTGGAATGTAAGGATGCCAGTATGATTAATTCCCAAATAAAGTTGATTACCTCTTTGATCCTGTATAAAAATAAATATGATAACTTTTTCAGAGTACATTATAATGCCATTATGGTTGTATTATATATTCTACCTTAACAGCATGAGGATCAACTCCATATGTATCCAAGATACAGGCTTTTTTCAAAAAAATTGTTTCCATCTCTGCGGCAGTTTTGCCTTTCAATTCATTTTTATGAATATCCATCATTTTTTCCTCTAATTGTAATGTTTGTTTCAATAGTATTTTTAATTCATTCACATAATTATCAATATGTTCTTCTGGATTGAAATCTCCAAGTTCAGCTATTCAAAAATATTAAATGATAGTGATTGTAAAAATAGTTGGATATATTATTATTTATTACCTTGTAGTATATAAGCTCCTAGCAGAGCAGCTTCAGATGTGTTACAGTAAAGCCGACCATGTAATAAATCCCTTTTTAACTGAAGATAAATTTGGTAACGAGTAATATCTTCTTTTAACCGAAATGGATTTGGTGGATAAAATTTAACGCGGAAGCTAAATAATATATTGTCTGCTTCCATATCTAAAATTAAGATATATTTTTAGTGAATTATATTCATTCATGAAAACTACAAAATTACAAACCCCGGATTTGTTTGAAAATCGATTTAGACGGTTCTAGCCAATGCTGTAAAAATATAAAATAAAATATAGCAATATTATAGAAGTAATTTAATAATAATACGATAGGTACCGCTGAATGAAATAAGTTATTAATAAAATAAATCCATTTTATGGAATCATAATATTATTGAACCATCATGAAAACATTAAGCGATACCTACAATGACTGAAGTTATCAAAAAAATGAAGTACCCTTTGACGTTTGCTATCAACATAACGTAGACCAAAATAATCTTTTTCAATTAAATCCAATTGTTCACAAATACGACTTATCAAACTACTCCCCTTTTCATTTATCTACAAAATAAAAAGAAATATACATCATTATCATTAATTGAATCACAATACAGAATTATAAAACATAAATTAACTAACACATGTATCTAAAACCGTGTGTTTGATATTATGCAAATATATAATCAGAATAAAGTTATGTTATTACCTATATAAGTTATATTATTTGTAACTTTTTTTTAGATAAGCACTTATAACTACTACAAACAATCTAGATTTCTATAAAACTATTTACAGATAGCTTTTTTTTCCTTGCCATCAACTGGTATTTAAGGACAACTTCAGCATTACATAGGTAGATTAGGTTGGAAGCTCTACAAATTTTTCTTTTAGGAAAGTTCAAAAAAGTGGTTTATGTAATGAACTAGTTAATAAGTACCGATTTGCTCTTAATAAGTTCATAAGTGTAGAGGAAATAAAGTGATACCTGACTTGGTTCAAATCATACATGAAAAGTAGAAAAATGTGTAACATAATTTTATTTTGATATGGTTGACGGTACTCAATATTTTTTCTTCTCGTTCTGATTGAGGTACCTATTGAATACCTAAGCATTGTATGTAATTTGTTTTATTGAATATTTTTTCTATTATATAGGTAATTTAAAGATTAGTAAAAGTTAATTTAGCATACAATAATCATTACTATCAAATCTTATAAATATTATGAATTTAATATGAAAATAATAAATACATTTTGTTACTGCTCGTTTCAAAGATCAAATAGAGAAAAATGATAACTAATATTTTCTTCTTATATTTTATCCGAGTTTAATACAGGCACAAGTGCAAAGAAAACACCAAGGAAAACACTGCGTATATGTATACCACATATTCTTGGAATAATTTGATACCCATATAAAATTGATTCTAAATATATTAAATCATGATACTATTAATATTACTTATCTTTGATTTAACAAATATGTAATAAGATGTTTGTAACTTAAATAATTAAGTAGGTACTTAATAGAAACTTTGTAACTAGGTAGGTACACATCATTTAAAAAGTACCTATACCTAAACATTCATTCATTATCTTTTAGTAAACATGTATATTTGTGGTGTTGAAATATGTTAGAATGTTAGAACACTTAATATAAGCGTGTAAAATCATAAACATACATTTCTATTGATGAATAGAAGTAGCCTAATTGTGTATTAATTTATCATTAAAAATAATAGTACATTAGAACATAACAAATTAAAATTTTTTAAGATAAGTTAAATTAGAAAAAACCTTAATGGTCATTATAGATTATTAAACATTGATAAACACAAATAATACATACATAGGTGCCTACCTAAATATGATAATTAAATAACTAAATAAATTCATCAATGTGAAGTACCTATCATTTTACATTTATCAACCTATTTTATAATTATGATAAAAAGTAACAGTTGTATTAATATAACTGAATATTATTTTCAATTTTGATTACCCATAAATAACAAATATACCAACAATATAACTGATGGTAATTTGTAGAACATTATGATTTGATCAAAAACATTTTATCAACACAAGTTGAGAATCAAAGAACTAATTTAGATGAGTAATAAACTTTGTTCCCTGTTTATTACAATATATACTGCCATTTCAGCATAAGATAATGAATTGGTAGGTACCTAATTACTGTTAATAATTTTCTCATTCATAACATATTATAAGCATGTTTCCATTGAAAATAAATACCAAGTCGTAAAATTATAAATATACCTATTAAACAAAAGTAATATTTAATCGATATAATGGATACGTCTCTTGAGTCTACTTGGTTTACTATTTATATTTTATACTAAATAAGTAAATAATGGTACTCATTCTCTTGAACAAGCATCCATGATCGTACCTGAAATTCGCTGTCCAACAACTGATTGTCGTCCAACAGACGGACCGTACACTTGATTGGTGTATTGGCGGAGTTTTTGCTTCCAAACTTCATCATGTTATATTTTAGAGAGCAGCAATTCCGCGCAGCTGACGCCGTCGAAACGTTCGAGTCCTGTGCGGAAAACAGTAAAAGAAAACTGAAACAACCAGTCGAGGAAATGGTAAAAAGTAAAAAAGATCGTTATGAAAATATGGCATGCAATTCCCCGGTACAGTTGGCGGCGGTCAGTCAGGCGTACTGCGTAGGGTACGTTATGCCATAACGGACGTGCATACGCATTACACACTATTGTTGTTATTATTCATATACCTATTACACACGATCCTTCTACCACCTACCTATTTAATATTATTATCGCGAATAATCGATGGTCGCCCTACCCCGTTCGGGTTCGGTGCGAGCGGCTTACGAGTCGGGGACGCGTCGTCGTGGAAAACTGACAACTACGGCGAAACGGACAGAAAACAGTACATAATAGGCAGCGTAATACTAATGTGTGGCCTGCGGGCGATTAACGGCGCGCGCGAAAGGTTTCGGCCGTCGGTTGACCGCTTATTATTATCGAAATATTATATTATTGACTATCACCCGGCCCAAAGCGCTGGCTAAGAAGGTCGCTGGCGCACGAAGTTCGGGCGGCGGGCAGCGGTGTATACAACAACACTGTGTACACAACACGGGACGACGCAATATCCGATTCGTCGCGCTCAAAGATTACGGCGCGTCCTTATCTCTGCAGCGGCAGTCCTCCCACCAAACGATTCGGCTTGTTTACGCACGCACGTCCATCATACTGACGAATGACGATTACTGAAGACCAATAATAATAATAATAATAATAATAATAATAATAACAATAACAATAATTTATTATGGGTTTGAGTGATCACACGATTACACACCTAAATCACAAAATAGCATGTTGACAAGGTTAATTATAAGTCTATGTGTCGAATAGACATTAGACAATATGGTGGGGAATGTGTCTCTTTAGATAAATTTGCCAATATTGCCATACATAGCTCAAATGTTTTATTTTTGGCTGTCACAGTGTCACTGGTGTATGGGGGACGCTATCGGCGACCGCCGACCAGCCTGCTGCTAGTGCTACAGCAACCACACTCATGCACTAAATAGACCATTACATTATTATAATAATGTCTTCTTCTATTTCTTCACCCTTCACTCCTAACTTTATAATTTATATATGCGTTGGCCACACGTGTTGTACACCTCCGCGAGATAAGGCTAATAACGTAGTACAATAATCAATACAGCTAAAAAAGTATTCGATAAAGATCGATAAACGTTTCTGTATAAAATATAAAATATATGGGTAGAAGACTGGGCAGCTAATACCCACAGAATTTTATAATGATTTACTCGAGCTTTATTCCCGTCACCGGCGACCGGCGTCACCCGTCACATAACTGTCATGACGGTCGTCAAACGATAAATAAAAAAATTATATTATCGTTCTTCAAGTGGTTCGTCATTGTGCACACATCCTCCGTAATTGCCAGAAGCCGGACGGTAGACCGTAGACACCTTACGATAAAGTAGTAAGTATATTATTGTGTCAATACGTGCCACGTCCAAATGTCCAAGAGCTTAAGTAATAAGTACTATTTTTTTTTTTTTTATAAGGAATTAATACTAAATAGAAATATTATAACAGCTAAATAGTAAATACACACTAATGAGTATTGAGTAGGTACTCGGAACAGTCGGAACTTCGACACTCGCCCAGTCACCTATGAGCCACATTGTAGTCTCTTGTCGGTTCGAGCGCGGGGTTTGGAGATTGGTCAGTGGCTACACTGGTGCATTTACGGGTGGTTGGCAGCGGTGGTGGTGATTATCATGAAGCCTAGAATATTTTAACAAATTCTGGTCTTCGTGGTGGGTTTGCTTGGCGGCGGTGGCGGGCACTCGCGATTGATAACGCGGACCTCGGCTCCGGGTGGCCTGGATATCACTAATCACTATCAACGCGTATCATTTGTGTTTTGACCGGCGTCGGCGATGGCAGCTACCGCATCCAGCGTAGTCGTTCTCGACAGAGGAAATAACACAACATGCACCATCAACTTGCACGGTAATGACGACGATGTTCACATATTATTTACTCAAAATAATATTTTATTACCTTAATCGATTACCAAAACTATGTAATTGTGCCGGACGGTATCTGTTATTCTGCTGGTCGCGCCTCTTGTCATTGGCCTTGATCTTTATTAAATTAATATATTAATGCTACAATGACCCTATTTACACTAAATAATATTATTTTTGTTGTAGTCTCTACTCAATAATTATTTTTTTATAATTCTTTTATACGAATAAAATCAATCACCTTCGTCCTTGTTTTAACAGGTGCTACCGTGGTCTCTTGGAGGGTTAACAATCAGGAACAGTTGTTCGTCAGGTGAGTGTTTTTTTTATTGTTTATGACACTACATATTCGTTTTGCACTTATTTTGATATGTCAACGTTTTATTTTTTTTGTTAATCAGAATTACAACTTACCTATGCATGTAATGCACCGTTCAAAAATCATAGTTAAATGTTACTTAATATTAATAGGTACATTTTTATTTGTCGATCTCGATGCCTAATTATTTTATATTAACATGTAGTGACAGATCTACGAATTCACATTGGGATTTGATAAAGTTCAATATATTATAAAATCTATTAATTTTGTAATTTTGAAATTGATATTTAATTTTGACTAGATGGGCATATATAATTTCCATTAATTTAACATAATAATATTCCGAGTCATTGACACATTTAATATAATATATTGTAGGTAATTCTGAGAATATTAAATTTAATCAAACATTAAGATTATGACTTAATACAGCTATTTTAACCATCATTTTTAATACTACAATTCAATTTTTTTTTATATAATTGTTTGGGAATAATTGGATTAAAAAATCATTCTGTTGAATGAATTACGGTTAAATAAGTAAATATTACTTAAAGTCATAAAAATAACTACGTTTCTTATATTTTATTGACTAAAACAGTGGTGTATGAAAATTTGCGCTAGTATAAATTACGTGTCCCTTAGTCTAACTTATTACGAATCATTACGATATAACCGTTGCAAATAGACAAAATGTTGTCATTTGCTAACACATAAATATAGAAAATATTTTTAAATAATATTATGCTAATATTACGTAATAATGTATTAATATACCATATACCATTCTAGGTAATGGTTATGAATTATCAAATATTTTATTGATTACAATCTAATATCTATCTGTATTCTCTCTGCGTGTTATTGATAACTAATTACATATTATTATAGTTAGTTATTTGTATAACAAATATTATGTTTATTTTGTTTAAAAAACCAACTAAAATCATTATCTGTGCACCACGTGTTTATGATTTTTTAAATATTATAACTATAGGTATATTGAGAAAAATATGTTATTTTATATTTCAAGATAAATATTTGTTATGATGTACTATTTTAATGTATCTATTATATTAAGTAGTTTGTCAATATATTTATTGAAATTTGAAATTAATCTAATCGTTTTTTAATTTTATAAAGTGCAATTAAAATCTGATTCAATATTTATTTTAAATATACACTCTTTTTAATTAACGTCGAAATATAACCCTTTTCCAAAATTAGCTATAAACAAATTCTGATTTCGAACACAGTGAATGTTGATGACGATAACGCCAATGTATAATAAACTAAGCTTTGATTTATTTGTTTTAAGCGGATTAAAAAACACAAAAAATATAGTAACAAAATTGGTTTTTAGTTAAATTTACCAGGATAGAATAACACATTTGGAATAAGTTATTAGTTTGACCTCTAAAATATTACCTCTGTGCATAAAAATGGGAAAGAATTGTTATTGTAAATTCGTGATTACCAAATACCAACATATTATTATTTATTTTGAAAAGACCTTTTTAACAAACAGAACAGAACGAAATGTTAGATTTTCAAGGTTGCACCATTTTTTTTTCACTTAGTCTCTTGTAAAGTTATAAAACGTGTCAAAAGACCAACAATATGACCGTGAAATTTGTCCATTTTATTCTTAAGATGGTACCTATCATAAAGGTACCTTTTTTTTTCTTTTACAAATACGGTAATAAAAATCTTAAACCATTTTTCTTTCTTGTAGTTTAAATATATCTCGGAGGTACATTAAAGTTATTTATTGCGTGGTTAAGCATATGTACAAACATTTATTTTCTTGTTAAACATCGAGGATTTTAGGGAAACGTGTTATGTGTAAGTAATAAATATCGAGGATATTTTCAGCTCAAAATTATTTGTTTATTAAATCGGTATACTATATTATGCCTAGTATTTAGTAACATTTTAAATTTAGGTTTCCGTTAAAAATTATATTTTAATATTTTTGATTTTTATTGTTAGTTATTAGTAATTACAAATATTCAATGTTCTCGCTAGATTATTTGTTACATTTTATTGTTATATTATTACAATCACTTTCGTGTGTACGTAAATAAAACCACAGAGACATATTTCAAATATTTATTACTTTTTACTTATCGAGTACTATTGTTGTATTATTTGTATAACCTAGTATTAAAATAACACGTAAATATGATGACCATTGCTACCAAAGTATAATCGATGATAAATGATAATATTGCAGGCTAAATAGAGATTTAACCAAACATATTTTGTGTAAATTAATAATTAACAAACTAATTAACATGGAGTATTTATAATACTGTTGTTGATATAATTTTGATGTAACTATTTTAAAGGGTTTGAAAAGCGTTATAATTTTTTAAACACTGTTTTCCTGCAGATATAGATAATATTTCAAAAAGTCTCTACGAGCAGTGAAAAATAGGTATCCTTTTTTTTTTCTAAATTGTTTATTTTAGTTTTTCGATTTCGAAGCAATGAAATCTTTTAAAAAGACAGTATTAAACACAACATTAGAATAAGAGAGCTTTTATTTAAACACTATAATAATATACAAGGGAAAAAACACTTTTTAACAGGTTAAAATTTCAGAAGCTTGAATATAGTCACATTTCTTACTTAATTAAACTAACCACAAATTCATATGTCGTATATGATTATATTACGCTAACTTCACAGGCGATTATTAATAAATAAACATAAGATATTGAACCAACTATTTGATTTATTTATACATATTATAATGTCCACATTTTAATATTTTATCGTTTAAATATGTTCAGGTTACGTATGATACCTGTTCGTATAATACTGCATATCATACCAATTTTTTATTTTTTTTTATATATATATATATATATAATATCGGAGTATTCATATTTTATAACTAAATATTTAATGTATGTTATAAAATGTATTTCTTATGTAACAAATTATTAATACTCTACTTGAAGGTTAGAAATTCGTAAAAAAAAGTACAAAAAGTTTTTTAAGACAATTCAAAGCAAAATTTGCGCAGCTGGCAGATAAAGGGTTTCGTTGTTATTTTTTCACCCCTCTAAGGGTGTGGCAGCCTGGTAATGACTGATGAAGCATTTATCCCGCGTAAGGACCCTCTCTCGCTCTGTCCAAGTCATTGTCGTCCAACATCTTTTGACTGATAGCCTTGGCCCGGATCAACCCTTGAGCCTCGTTAATCAGATTATAACTCCTCCTTTTGTCCCTCAGATACTGGTAGACAAGCACTGGAGCTTCTTAAAAGGTAATAAGGTGAAATTTAAAAAGACGCAAATCACCGCGTTATTATGATGGATGCCTACTATTTTGTTACTTTACCTATATTGCTAAGTGTGAACTCGTTACATATTTTATTATAACTATTAGTACTTTTATATATATTAGTGTAACACTGTAACTTGAAAATAAAGATCAAGTATTAACAGTTTCTTCAATGTATATGAATGACTATAATATTATAGTCGTTTACTAATCACATTTTCACTAAGCGCTGCATATTTTTTCCAATAATAAAAAATGTGGTTGCTTACATCTGTAAAATTAAACAATAATAACATTTGTTGTAAATAATAATCATTAATAACATAGGTAACAGCTTGGCGTGATGTGTGGGGGGCAAGGTGGCGTTTATTAACACTACTTCAAATATTATAAAAATAATAAACATTTATATAACTGCTAAGTATTTTTTATATCGTTTTCTGAAATTTATATAATTTTATTGAGAGTTCATAAATGTTTCGAATGTATACTTAGTATATATTATTTTACAATTTAACACGGTTTGAAAGTTTGAACTCAATACGTATATTTGAGTTACATCATATTTTTCGTTTGAATTAGTTTATTGAATAAGAACACTACATTTATTGATCTATAGTTGGTCCATGATTTTATATTATAATTGCTATAGTTTTGATCAAAACTGTAGTTATTTCTTAATAATTGTTTCCAAAATAGTAAATAATATATTTATTGATTCAATTGTTGTACTTAAAATACAGTCGGTAAATAAAAAAAATATTTAACAACCTATTCTACGAAACATCATTAATTGCTACTAGCTAAACATTTTATTGGTAATTCTCATCAGATGATAAAATCCAAGTATTTCGGGTTCTTTTATTATTTCATGATAAATAAAATATTTGCTTATGCTGCAGTCATTGAATTGTATGTTACATTTTTAAAAAATTGAATGAAAAAAATGCTGTGTAAAAACGAGATTCCCGAGGAGGTCAAGTGGCACTTGTGAATGTTTTCCCGAGTCGATAATTTCGTCTCGTCGTAACTCTTTGATGTCTAAAAGCCTGAAATGACCCGGCTCGACTCTTGTTTAAATATGTGGTGCTCCGACCTGAACATAATAAAGTTGAATAGCATTATCAGTGCGCATAGGACGAGATTAAATTTAAGCTTTGACTTTGTTTAATTGGCCCAGTTCGCCGTTTAATTACAATGATTAAATTATGGCATTGATGTTTAATATAATCAAGCGTAACCTTTGTTCTCGGCCATTTTTTGTATTCCACCCTAGAGCTATAAAAACATATTTAAACACCAAAAGATTTTCTTTTCTGCTCATCGCATTTTATCTAATTGATTTGCTTTTAACAGTATATGAAACTGACAATTAAACTTTATGTAAAATTGGCAATTATAAGTTGGCATAATAGTTAACATCTAAATATAATTTATAAAATATTATAATATAATATACACATTTAAATAGGTATTATATGTTTGAATAAATACGTATGTGTAAATTATGCTCTTATAATAATTATTGGTAAAAATCATTTTTTCGAAGATCCGTAAATTATGTAACAAATGTATTACCCTAAAATGTAGGTACATATGTTTAGACTTTAAACGATCGATTCATTATTCCTGTACAACCCTTTTTCCCATGTGTGTTATACCTCTATATATGAATCACTGCACTCACGCTATACCGC